AAAAAAAGCAAGAACAATCATGTAAAAAAATTGTCATATATAATATATCAACATACCAGTCCTCGAGAAAGCAAGGCAGATATTAGAAAAAGTAATGCTCCCATACGACTACGAAAAGCAGGGAGCATTGCTTGAAGCTTCTGATATGCACTTGAATGCGAAGTGTATGTGTGAACTCTCAGAATCTTCCGCAAGTCAGAGCCAGAATCAATTGAAAGGTCTTCAAGTGCTTTTGCAATAACCTATGTAAGATAAAAATAAAAAATAAAAATTAGAAGCAGAATATTTAGTTTATAACGATTGCATTCAAGTTTCATTTTAACATGCTTCCTAACCTAATAGTGTGGGACTTTATAAATAGTATCAGCATTATTGCATGGGTCCACTTCGTAAACCAACTAAATGTTGCAGGAGTGTGGAAAAATAACTATGTTTACCTCATCTACAGGGCATTCAACAGACCCCTCAATGTCACCATCAAGAATATTGAGCGATGTTATTACAGCTTTTTCATTACTTCCACATAGAAAGAGTATCTCACTCATACTCCTCACCAAGGCTCTGTTTAGAAGCAGAAAAATTTACAAACAATTTTCAGTAAGGAAAAGAGAACCAGTGATTAAAAGAAAGATAACCAAAATCTACAAAATGAACTAGCATTACTTTCCAGGTAATCATAGTAGGTAGACTGCTAGATATGCCGCATTCAAGAAAATACAAGATCCTGTATTGTGGTATTGTGGTTCACAATAGTTTGGAAAATTTCGTTTAAAATCTGTTTCAGTGTACAAAATGAAAAAATTGGCTCAATGTGAAATTCAGGTTGATGCAAAATATCAAACTATGATATGTGAGTCAATGTTTAAAAAAAATAAAAATAAATAAAAAATTAAAAAAAAAATTCTGGCCTGTGTAGTCTTTCCTCTTTTGAGTTCTGGCTCAGGAATGAAGTTGAAGGTAAAACCAAGTCTAATCCATAAAATGATAGCAAATAAAGAGATCTACTACCTCGATTTTTTTTCTTCGGAAAGAGAAAAAGTATCTCCCACCACATATTCATTCTTGGATGCTCTTCTCAAACCCAATCTTGTTGACATGTTTGGCGCAACTTCAGATTCCTCTGGAGAAAATAGAAGATATTTGAGTACAAAAGCCTGCACAGCCAAGAGAAAGTTTTGTTAGCAGAAGACTATACAACGTAAGACATGCATTCATTAACCTTAAAATCACACACTTCACTCCATTTACAGGATAAACAATTCATCATTATAACACTTAATGGTATAATCTAGAAAACCATGTTTCTTTACACTGGTACAAAAATTACTTTGCAGAACTCATCCCATCAACAATGACTAATCTAGAAACAAGGTTAAATATACCCAGACCACTAGGTTACAAGAGATTAACACACTTCTCCATCTATTTTTCCAAATTAAATTACTTCCTTTACATGAGAAAAGTGGACTAAAATTTGGAGTCGGAAAACACTGAGACATTGAATTCCTGGTTTTGTTGTCTCTGAAGAAAGACCATATACATAATGGGTGAATAAACAAAAGGAAATAAAAAGCTTTTAAGTGGTGAATTTATAGTTAGTCAATGGGACATTTACAGAGCACTAGGAAGCAAAACCAATGTTTAGCACAGAACAAAACAGGAAGTTTTTAGTTTTAGATGAAGCTAAATGAATATTCAGGAGAGGTTAAAAATGGAATCAAGATACTAGAAATTCAACATAAGATCACCTTGTAGAAGCTCATATTAGATCAGTTCAGTAGCTAACAAACCATGTTATCCAAAATTCATCAATTTATCTAGCTTTGCTCACTAAGCTAGTAAATAAGAACATATGTGAAAACATAAGAGGTCTTGCTCTTATCTTTGGTTCAGTGATTAAAGCACATTTAAGATTGACAAATTAAGTAATCAA